TATCGAAGAACCGCCTCGGTGTATGAGTGTGTTTGTGGGTAACCACTATCACTGAGGCAGTTTCCCACAACGAACAGCTCTTCCTCGATCTCTGCTTCTGAATGAAGCGTACTAACACAATCAAACAGTGTTTTCGACAGTCTCATGTTCCTGTGACTTATGACACGGAAGCTGCTTAAGTTCAGGTATACCGCTTTGAATGAAGCCAAAACAACAGCGTGTACTTCATAGTGTGATACCATGGTTAAAATTCATAAGCTCGTCAACGTGGTATTATGCATCCTTATATCGGATGAATAAGTTGTCTGTTATAGGTAGCAATGAATATGTTAAAACAAAATGAGTGATTGGTGTGACGTTGAGTTGCAATTCTCAATGATATCGTCACACTAGAAGGATTTGTATACTGGACTGTTATCAGAGCTTGAATTATAGATGCCTTGATATCTTCAACAGATAATTAGGCAAAAATGCTTCCGCTTATCTGATACTATCTAATGATTTGGATATGAGGTGTGCAGATCGAAGTGCTTAACTGGGATCTGTCGGTGAATTCAACAGTATTTGAAATATTTCAGCAGAAATGAGAATGACGAATCTTCGTATATTAATGATTGAGGAATTTTCGCTTTCATGGTTTCTCTGCTCTGAAAGTCTCAAATATCTCGAATCTATAAAAGCTCGTTAAATCCTCTCAATCAACAGTGCATAAGCTCCTGTCCCCAGAGGATTACAAGATAGTTTCTGTTAACCTTTAAGAAACATTTTCAGTGCCTCTTCTTTTTTCAGCATGCTGTACCCATCACATGAAAATATACTGAGATCAACGCATGGAGAAATTACATTCACTCAAATTTAAACCTTCCTTAAAACGTTGTGTTTGCCCTACACAGTTTGCATAAACACAGAGTGGATTTACCTAATGTTCTGCTGCTGGCCCACATAAGAATAGTGTTTCGTGTTTCGACGAACGAGACAAATATGTCCTTTGTAACTTCCCTGACTAAACCTCATCTTTTGTTAAGTTCTCCTTGACACCAATGGAATCGCAGTGTGATATCTGGTTGCATTCGTATTTCTTTGATGGAATGCAGAATACTACGAATCTCCGTGTGCCTTGCTTACTGAAGCTGCAATCTCTCGAGGCGCTGTTCTCTACTGGTCTGACAGTAAACTTGACATATGGGGACATGCGTGATCTACACAAACTGGTTCGTTCACATGATGCTTGTAGCATAGAAGGCGCTGAAATGGAAGCTGAGTCAAGCAATGAATACCTTGAAACAGTTCTTTCCTAAGATCGTTCATGGTCCTCCGATATTTCGTTGATTTCTTCAAGGATGGTACGTCTAACCTGCAACATTGAGACGTTAAGACAACGAGGAATCACTCAATCTCTATTTGTGCAGTTTGCAAACTCTTGCATCTCACCTATTGTTCTTTGTTTTCCGCCCTCAGCAAGGTCTATGTCACGTTGCGAAGGGTGTTACAGGTTGTCAGTAGGTCACATGGTTTGTTACGTGGTGTGTCATCTAGTCACTAATGTAGTCGAGAGACACCTGAACTCGTGTGAGAAATGGTGCAAATCGACATTGTCTGGCTCTCAACATCCTCGCTATTCTCAACTCTGTGCTTGTATCTCACCAAGTAATGTACCGAAAGGTGCAGTATTCTATGCTGTAGTATGAGTGCTGCTTTTGAACATATTATTATTGTCATTAACATCATAGTGTTTGCATTGGTTCATACAGAAGCTATGATATCATGTGGGGCGATTGTCTAGTTATGATATAAGTACACTGACTTCTAGACGCTTTGAATATTATTATATTATTGTTGGTCCTTTGGTTTCTGAATGGAACATAGGGCTTCAACAACACGTCTCTATTTTGTCCTATTCTCTCACTGGTTCCCATAGTCTCTGACATCTACCTCACGCCATCGACTTAAGGTCACTCGTAAACGACGCATTCATCAGTTCACATTCGGGTTTCATTCTAGCGATGGACTGGCGTGCCATGTCATCTAACGGTCTCCCAAGTGTGCACCCAACCCATTTCCATTGTATTTCGAATATTTGTGAGCAGTGGGTTCTCGAGCAGTTCGTTCCCACAGCTTCTTTCCGCTGATTTGAATCTTGTTCTTTATGCCAACTGAGTGAAGAAGAGTTACAAACTGAATTCAGTTTGATGGGGTTGTATCTCACCTTTCTGATTCTGCTTTTGACATGCTACAACAAGAGTTGAGATGGTGCTTCCAAGATAAGTGAGAGAAGTTACCTCTTCCAAATTTCTCCCTTTTATAGTAACTGGTGTTTGTTGTTGTTGTTTAGTTGTCTTCATCATCTCCATCTACTATGTGTCCACTTGAGACCTTATTATCACTGCCAGCCTCTTCAGAAAACTTATTGGTTTTCTCCTGCGAGTCTTCGAGTTTCTGTGAAATCAGACGTGAATCGAAAGCAAAATCCAGATCTTATAATGTCTTCTTTTCAGTCCAACGTTTTCATATCTTCTCCCTCCCCAGACACAGTCTGAAACATAATCCAGTTCACAACAATTAGGGATTTCATGAGTGATAATAGGCAGGCAGCTTTGTCTTACTCCTGTGTTTACCTCAAAAGCTTCACTTAGTTTTCCGTTTTCGGAACACCTGAAACGTGTCACAGTCATATAGCCAGCTGTTGAATAAGGCTGATAAATATTTGGGATACTGAACGTCATAGTGTTCAAGTAGTTTCTGAATAACTTTGTGGTTAACGTTAGGCCATGAGGCTGCCATTAACATAACCAATGATAGGAGGTATGTTTCATCACTGTATGCTGAAATCCAATCATGAATAAATCCCGTCCAATCATAAATGAAAATAAGAAATAAATAATTCAATGATGGGTCTCCCTTCGGAGAATTCATTCTCGCCAGGAGTTCATTCGCGTTCATATGCATTTCTTTCCACAAAAGAAGAAGGCAACAAGACTGATGGGTTATCACAGTCATAACTGCTGATATCAGCACTATCAGGGGTGGGATAATTGAACATCTTGTTAACACGGTACATTCCATCTCACCGAGCTCCTCATTCAGAATTGTCTACAAAGTGAAGAATTATCTGCAAAGGCATTACATATTCGTCTCGTTAGTATGCACTTTCATGCTTTCTGGATCAGCATTAGTAGTATCAGGCACTCAACATATTTGGATGTGAGTGATTTCCGTTCCCTAGGGAGACTTGGATAACATTTCAACTCGAAGTGGGTGAAGTGAAAATCAATTTGCTAATAAAGGAATTGATTCTATGCGAAATTCTAACTCATATTAAGCAACTCCTTTGTCAATTTCGATTATTATTAAGAACCATCGTTTGGAGTACTGGTCATTTAAATCGCTACACTCTTTTGTGAGAACATCTTATTGTACAAGAGAAGACCATGCACCACAGTTACTGTAGACGTTAAATTAAGGTTCAAGGCGACGGTGGGAGAATAGACTAGATCAACTGCTTCTGCATATACAGTTCAGGGCTTTCCTTGTACATATACAGAGCTTCTTCTATGGACACAAGAACTTTGTGTGTAATCTAAATATTCTTCGTTATTTTCCTTATCTTTGTCCTATTTCTTCCTTTCGAACGCTGAGTTATACTTTGTGAGTTTCCCCAATCTTCAAGTGTGCCGTATTCTAAAACCTTTTTCTTATTTTGAAAAGTGTTCGTGTTTCCATGTGCATAACATTTTCTGTGCTATTGTGGTAACCATTTCTGAATGACGCTCATCACTAATTGTTTTACAGTCAGTTTGCTTATCATGTGAACTCAATTGTTTTGTTACCAAACACAGTGTGATTAACTGACCATATTAACGATTCCCTGACCCTTTCAACACTATAGAACTAAGTGTACAGCGTTACAGTGAAGCTACGGAAAATACATTCTTCGCCGATGAACTGTGCGTTTTCGATTTATGTCAGATGGGTATATTTCATCCAAACGAAGTTGTATTTTATGTGATTTATTTACTTAATAAAATACAACTTGGTACATTAAGGTCGCCAAGAGATACACTTCACTTTCCGGCTGCTGGGATACTGGCTGGATGCTAAGTCTGAGGCAAGTGGTCACACCTCGTGCACTTCACATGAAATCTGATTGGCAATTCAGTTGAGCAGCGCAAGCAACTAAGTTAGCATGTTCGCTAGTGAATAAAACATATAACACGCTTTTCGATCTGTTCGGATTTTGGAGAGCTGGTCATCGCTCCCAGGGTAGACCAGCATCTACACACGTACAGTTGTAGGCACTAGATGATTCGCAATCACCCTTTCACTTCTGTGAGTAGAAGACTTGCTACGTGAATGTAGTCGACAGTAACTACCTGCTGGAGTCTAAGTTGTATCCAGATATTCAGAGAATTGTACTAGTGCATGTCTGATCCTGTTAGGATGACTTACAGTTTAATTTCAAAACATGATACATCTTCTATGACTGGATCAATGACATACCCAACTGTTGTACCTGCTTTTATCGATGTCCTTACCACTATTTATGTGTCTTCGGATATTTTTGTCCCAATTCGACTAAACATAAACAATGGGGTATATTAGCGTGAATATCAAATGACGGTTGCTGAAACCATAGACAGTACAGACATTGAAGAAACACCTTTTCATACACATCTCATCTGCTGGTGAAGATGTCCAAGTGAATTAGATTCTGAATGATAAAATCTGACATACTCTCCTATCCATCATGTTTTGATGTCAACGTTCATTTGTAAATTAATGCTCTTTCATGCAACTGAGAGTTCATCAAAGATGATACATTAATAAGCAAACCAAAGTGATTGTAGTGAATGCAACCCCTTTACTAGTTTTGTTTAAGGACACTATTTTCCTAAAAACAATTACACGTAATCATGTGATGATGAGAAGAAAATTGTTATATATAAAAGGAGATATTAGAAGCTCATTTTCCAGTAATTTTGAGCAGAAATATGATACTCTCAATGCAATTTATTCTTCTCTCAGTAATTCCACTAGCTCTGGCTAGTCGAGATGCGTATACAGAGAAAATATTTCAAATGCACAATGAATTTCGAAAACAGATACTCGAGTGTAAAGTGGACGGACAACCAGCAGCTAAGAGAATGCCTCCACTCGTGAGTACATTTTATGTTGTTTGTTTTCCTCAGTGATTTGTATTCTTTATGAGGTGTTAAGATAAATTAGGTCCATTGTAGTTTTATTGATTTAACAATCTTGCACTTAATGCGTAGCTTCGGGATTAATATGTGAATTGCCATCTCTCGGGAGGTCTCAAGGAATTTGTCTCATACTCCTTCAGATAGACTCCTGCGTGGTGTGCACACACTATAGACAAACAGCTATTCCAGGAGAGTGACAGTGCGTGTTCGACTTTTAGTGAGGATAGAAAACGCTGAGCATAAGCGACATACTTAGCTCAAAATGAGTAGATGAATTCACAGATAGACATTGGTGAGTCAGAGTTATTAGCGTACCCTCTACATTCATACGAATCACAGGTTATGTGGACGAAGTGAGTCGTAGTTCAGCTGTTCGAGGATTGGCGGCTTCGTACGATTTCTTCCGAAAAGTCCTGACTGGAGTATCGAATGATACAGAGAAGTTCTTGGAGGTAGTGAATTGTGTATGATTCAAGTTGGTTTAGGCGTCATCGAATCGATAATGTAAAGTTTGAGGTAGTCTCTTGCATCAATCAGAACTGATGGCAATCATTCAAGTTCACGCTGGCCTCCATTGTTTCCTGACTAACACACTGACACTCTCAAAACCGTCAGCAAGTATGTCTAAATATATATGCTTCACCAACATACTCCTCTTCACATTACTTTTCTTCCCTCTCTATTACAGGTATGGGATGAAGAACTGGCTAGTCAAGCGAAAACATTATCCAGAACCTGTAGAATTGGATACGATTCTCCTAAAAGTTCAAAACTATATCCAGTTGCACAGTATATTGCTGCTTATGCAACTGTTGAACAGTAATCGCTGCTACAAAATTAAAGTAACACACACTGTACTTGTATTTTAGAGCTATGCAGTCATGGTTCGGTCAGCACAAATGGTATAATTTTAAAAACAATCAATGCAGTAACCGATGCAGAAACTACTTGCAAGTGAGTATTGATTGATGAATTAAACTTCAGGCATAAAGCGAATGTTAGCGAATTAGTAGATGATATTTATTAACAGAGTGACGAAGAGTTCTCCGAGAGACTAGTTGTTCACCTATGCTTTGTGTAGATCTTTTGATTTATTCTGACCTTCTGGAACAAGAATGTCCCCGGTGGTCTATACCACCCTTGTACCCTCAACGAATGAGCTATATTACAAGCCCTTCAGCCTAATCCCCCTGGAATCTAGAATTCTCTCAGTTTAACAAAGTGTTGTGTGTGATAATATTCTGAGTATAATGTAGGGGGAATTCACTGAACCAATCATAGCTTTGCTCGTATAGACTGACAAGTAACCAAGTAGTCGACATCTCTGACAGTAGGAATTATTATTTTATCGTTACTATTATTATTATTGGGTTCCGAGTGGAATATGAGGCTTTAACAGTACATCACCACTTTTGTCCACTCTCTGTAGTCCTTTATTTAGCTGACTCCACGAATTATCCTGAGGATTCATTCTGTACTGCGTGTGCACAGTGGTTAGGACTCTCGCCGACCATGCACATGGTCCGGGGTTCGATCCCCTGCCGGCGCACACCCAATATCTATGGTCGGCCTGAATTTGGGCCACCGATATCCATGCTGAAAATTCCATACTTGTACTGAAAATATGGTGTGGAATCAAGCTGTAAATCAAAATAAAAAATAAAATAAAATAAATATGATCTCCACGACATCACTCTTCAAGCTTAGCTCAACTCGTTGTTTCCTTGTAACGCTTCGACTCAACGACAATTTCACTAGTTACCTATCCCGTGTCAAGGCTTGAAAAAGAGGAAAATGTGAGCGTAGGAATAGAAACCTTATCTCGAGAAACCACGTATACATTTCTTTGAAAAATCTGGCTGAAATATAATGGTGTTTTTCCATATGTGTTTTATCTTTCGTTCCCTTTTTTCTTTAGATAGTTTCCGCTAACACCACAGATATTGGATGTGCAGTGACCAAATGTCCATACAGTGACGATTTTAAATATGGTTTATTCATAGTCTGTAACTATGGCCCAGGGTAATTGTTTGACTAATTCGTACTGATAATTGTTTTTATTATTATTATACTGTGAAGTATTCAACTGATTGCTAACTAGTTAAGAGACATGCTTGACGAGAATGGTTCAACCACTAGGAGGTTTTCATTCCATTATTCTTTCTTTAATTGTTGAAACCTACTCTTAAGATACACATGTAAGCATCGACAAATTCCTGAGTGTTTGTCTGCAGGGATTTCATTGCCTTCAGATGCCATCACAAACTGACTTAAGTTAGCGAACCACAGTTATGCATCTTGTACATGGACAGTGTTAATTCCTTTCCTACCTGTTCATTCTCAATCTTTCCTTTGTTCAACATTATACTACTTGCCATTAGTAAGTAGTATGATTCTTATATGCTAATTTATAACAATGACATTGCTTACAACTGCAGTTAAATTACTTGTTCTATTATCATTCTATTAATGTATAGTTCTTATTTTTCTGCTCCTTAAACATTATTTGCTGACCTTACCCTATAATGTATGCTTTACTACTGAAAGTTTTTTGTTCATATTTGTTTATTCTTTGCTTGGCATTCGCGGGCCGTTTGAACCGACACGTGGATCGACCTTGACACAGCATTGCTGTTTTTACTTAATGACTGCACAGTGGTTGTGCATTTGACGGCATTTAGCCACAGACACCTCACATTTTGAGGTTTGTATATTATATATTTATTTTTATGTAACAAAGTACCGTATTGCAGAATATCCTGTATTTCGGACTTTACGCGTCACTCTACGTGTGGTTAAATCTATAGTTTGAATTATCGTTTCGGATTTCTTTCGGGAGAAATTCAAAGAAAGCTACTTCGTCCTACGTTGGAACTGTTCAGCTCTACGCAACCAGCATCTCACTGGCTATAAATCCCGGAACCATTGGATTTTGTCCCAGTGACAGAATGATCTTCAAGCTTGCCTTGTAATCGGACAGTCTTCGGTTCATTCGATACCTGCTGTCATTATTTGCTTATGCTACTGTTGGACAATCTCAAAAAGGAAGGGAAGAAATGTCCAGCACTGCCTCCCCTGTTTTCTAGGGTTCTCACAATGAAGTCAGTTACTGAACGATCCTGATATTCATACTACATTTAAAAATCATATCTGAAACCATAAATGCTTAGCATATCAGTTCTACTGTTGTTCTCGCAGATAAGTCTTTGACAAAGTAGATTACTTCCACAAAATATTCATTTGCAATCGCATTCATGTTTCCCTTAGCCATTGAAATCCTGTTTCCATTGTATATCCTGATTATCTGACTAGGGAAGTTTAGTCCATTCGTATCACTTTAATTCCTCATCATCTGAACAACTAGACGAGACTAAGCATACAGCACAGGCAGCATCGTACAAGTAGATTCAGGTATGCGTAGCGTGCGTACTGTAGTCTCCCAAATTTTGTAAATTCTTTCCTGTGTGTTTCTTAAATTTTTAATTCAATTCTTGTTTTGTTTTTTTCACAAATTGATAAACGTTTAGAGCGAACTTAGCTGTGAGACCTTACGAAGCCAAGAATATCAATGAAGTCTGTCCAGTGAAAGAGACTGCAGCAGATGTTCAACCGATACATGGACAATGGCAGCCAACTTTGGGCACTATGAAATTTAACTCCAGAAATTGTTACTGTTTTAAATAAATAATTAATTAACTAATGAGACACTTAAACAATTATTGAATTTCACTTCTATATTTTATTAAATAATTGTGTTATTTAACGCATATACTTCTCAAATATAAAGATTTTCAAGTTTCACAGGCTTTTCTGGTTTCGAAGAATCTGTGTGGTACAATAATGTATTCCGTTTGAGGGTTGAATAATTTCACATATTATGACGATGATCTCGGTGATATCAATGTGTCTATTCTGTTGGAGATTCGTTGAGGGCAGTCCTCAGTACATGTTTCGTATTACTAGTATTGATTTTATTATTCCCTTTAGTTTCAAGTGGAACACACTGCTTCAACAGCGCATCTCCACTCTCTCTGATTCTCTGAAGACCACTTTTTCTGCCTACATGAGTCTCCATACGCTTTTAGCTCCTCCTCTTACGATGTCTTCATTCTCGGAATAACTAGTCGTCTCTCACTTTATTCCGGTTCCATTCAGGTGAATGTGTGATGTGCGACGTCATTAGACTATCTGCGCAACGTGTGTCCAATCCATCTCCAATCATCTCTCCGATTACTTAGTTAGCAATACGTTTTCGGATGGTTGGTTCTCAGAGATTTGCCGCGAATCCTTCCTGATCATCTCATCTTCAGTGAAGACAGAGGTTGGCTGAAGTCTGCTAGACATGCTTTTCTTGACACGCGTGACAAGATTTTCACATATATGGAGGAAATAACTTAACACTGATGTTGAAAATTCGAATTTCGTTATTTATGCTGAGGAGAGAATAATAGAAACTTACTTCTTTCTGATGGATGTGTGACTTGCCATTCTGATTACGGCTTTCACATCCTCATCCCTGTACTTGAAATAATACTTCCCAGATAAGTGAAGGGAGTGCCTCCATCTAAATTTGTTCCGTTGATAGTCGCTGGTGCTTTCGATATTGATTAGTTGTGTTCACCACCTACGACGTTTCTATGTTCACTTGAAATCCTGATAATTTTTAACAGTCCATATCTGCTCTCTCAGACTCCCAGCACTTCCACATCACTCCTCCTCATTTCTTTCGCTAACTGGGAAGCCATCTCATCCAGCCTCATACATGGTACGCACGTTCCAAGAGGGAGAGACGACACATCGGCCAGCTGACTGGCTTCTCAAAGGCTGGCGTTCGCTGATCAGCTGTGTCATTCCTCATTTCCGATTCCAGAGAATAACCAGTTTTTTCATTTAATTTTTGTATTTTCAGTGTTTTATGTGAGTTGAGGTATCTGTATCAGTGCGATTGATTTTTGTGTTGTAAAATAGTTGGACACAAGCCCAGCTCTCCTTTTTTACACGGGATTGAGAACTGCTAGAAAACTAGCAAATTAGTAAAGCAGGATTGGTGGAAAAATTTCTGTACTGTGTTGTAATTGGCTTTATCCAATTACACATTTTTCATGGTTGTCGATGAACGTTTGAAGTATCTTACACGAATCTTTTGATCTTGCGAATTGTTAAACAAAAGATTCCAAAGTTCACATAGGCCTATCTGAATGGAGCCGAAACAAACAGCTTGTAGTTCATGATGTGGTACCATTGTTCGTTTCGTCAGCTTCTAATCAGCTGGGCACAACATTCAATATTAGATGGGTATGTGCACAGAGCAGCTTGAACTCAAATGCATTGAAGATGTGGTGTCAGTCAACAGGATGCCTCAAAATTAATTCAGAGTGTTCATAAACTACACTTGTTGAACATATACAAAGAGAGTTCAAGTTTAGACAAGGCAAAATCAGCGGTGCTATCATAAATGTTTGGATATTGCGGAGAAGGAGTCGCGTAATGAAGATTCATGAGGTGCATGAGGTGATAATTAACTAATTATTGAGGTTGCCTATCACTGTGATGAGTTCAAATCGAATCTAAGAACAAAATGCCAGCTGAACTCCATTGCGACTACAACCACGAGATGGTATTGAAACCGACGATTATGTGGTTAAGTAGACGACAGAGTGAAGACATTTCTTTCTGCCAGGTGAAAGGAAGTCTGATGACTATTCTTTTCTGCACTCACAAATCAGGTTTCAAACGACTGATAACAGTATCTTTGTCGATTTTGCGAAGAATTCAACCTAAGTTTGTTGCTGATAATTTCGAAGGATTTAAGGCTTTCCGCTTTGCGATCCTTATCAAGCAGTGGTGCGCCTATGGCACCAGTAAAGGCGCTTCTTCTGTACAAACCATTTGTGTTTGTTTTATTCATATTCTACAGGATTGTAATCATGAGACAACTAATACAACTTTGAAGATCCTTGAAAATAAAACTACAAGTGCCTTAAAGGTTTATTCAATATTCTAAATGTATTAAAATTTTGGAGAAATAAATTGTTGGTATTCCCGTATTTATTCTGAGATACGAAACAAATCAAAGTGTACGCTTAGTTAGTTGAAACGGTTTCACAGAGATACTAGTGTGAAAGATCCTGTCCCCTGATTGCTACCTCCCTAAAGCTTTGTTGTTTCAGTCAGTGCAGTGAGGTAGCTAAATTCACTTCCAGCTTCCTAACCTTGACGAACTTACCACTGGAACGTTATCTAGGCGAGTCAAGGGATTGTGTTCATCTATGTTCGAATTTTTGACTACATGAATGTTTGAAAAGCAGGCTACTGTTGTGCTCACACTCATTTCTGTGTAGAAGATACCTACGCCTCATTTTGATGATAACGATTTAGTGATCTCGTGGTGATTCGGTCAGTAAGATGACACATTCATCATTTGAATAAAGCAAGAACAAAAGTGGTTTGTGCAGAATAATATGGTACCATCATTTATTTCGTAGGCCTCTCATCAGCTGCTTACAGCCTAAATAAATTATGAGGTTTGCGTACAGATTCAGAATTCGAACACCTACTGCTAATGTGTACCATGGATGTACAATTCCAGTTTGATAACACTCTTTACCGACAAATAGATGGTGTAGGCATGGGCAGTCCACTTAGCCCTGTTTTAGCAGATATCTTCATGTCAAACCTTGAGAAAACAAAGTTGAAGCATGCAATTGATCAAACAACTTCCTATTGTCGATATGTCGATGACACATTTGTAGTATGCAACAACGAAAGTCATGCCGCCTACCTACTCAGCCTATTCAACAAAGCACATACAAATATTGTATTTACCATGGAACATGAAAATGACGGGAAGTTCCATTTCCTTGACATAGCCACGCAACGCCTAGAAGATGGTAATCTCCAGAGGTCAATTTACCGAAAGCCTACATGGAATGGACAATACTTACATTTTAATAGCTTTTGTCCAAATAGCTATAAACGAGCACTAGTCAAGACTCTGTACTATAGAGCAAGCAGAATATGCTCTACAAAGAAACTAGAGGAAGAATTTATGTTCCTCGAAAAGGTGCTGAAAAATAACGGTTACCCTCAAAGATTCATAAACAAATATGGAAGATGTGAAGACTCAAATACCAAACAAATCACAGTTGAAAAAAAGCCTGTCTTCATTCAACTAGATTTTAAAGGTGAAAACATTGCAGAAATGGTCAACAGAAGACTGAAAACATCACTAGCCAGAGCCTATCCTGCAGCTAAGTTGTTTCCCGTCCATCGAACAACATGCTCTTTGGTGCAGTCACAAGTCGATAGATACCCTTCTCATGTTAACTCCAACTGTGTATACAAATTTACGTGTATCTGCGGGAGCAGTTACAGTGGGAGAACAGAAAGAAGGGCACACCTCCGATTTTCTGAACATGTGCCAAAAAGCCTACGTCTCAAGGGAACAAACTCTTATAGTAGCGCTATCACTAGACATCTTCTCGACACGGGTAATGAGGTAGAAATCGAGAAATCCTCTAAAATTATCACTAAACAAAGGAGTTCCATTCTCCTCAAGTTTGCCAAAGCAATCTCTATCAAACGCTTGAAACCAGATTTATGTGTTCAGAAAGAAGCAGTTATTAATCTTTCTTTGCCCTGGTAACTGAATGTCCTTTTTCTCTCATCTGATTACGTAATCTTCTCTATTATATCTGTAATCTTTGTCTTTAACCTCACCCCCTTTTATATTCTGTAATTTTGCTTGTCTCTTGTTTCTATGATTTGAGTTGAACTCAGTACATTGTTACCTAATTTATTAGTCACTCTGTATCCAACTCATATTTCGTCTTTATTACGTAACTCTTCTACCATTGTATGCATAAATCTATTTTGTTTAAACTTGAACTGCCTGTGTAAAAACTATATAAGCGCAATTTTCTGAGCACTGTTCACTTACTGTGGAACTTTTTGTCAACTGACAACATGCAAAAAATTTGCAAGTATGTTAAAACTTTTCTGTACGCAAACATCATAATTTATTTAGGCTGTAAGCAGCTGATGAGAAGCCTACGAAATAAATGATGGTACCATATTATTCTGCACAAACCACTTTTGTTCTTGCTTTATTCAAATTCATCAAGGGGAATAAATGAATGAACATTCATCATTACTGTCATAGACAAAGATTCTACACAAAGGATATGTTTTACTCAACAAAGTACATTCAGCGTTGAGTATTTTGTACTATTAATGTACACTAATGTACTATTAAAAATAAGGTCATTTACAGGATTGAAAATCTCAGGGGATAAAACTGATGAATAGAAACTTCACAAGGCTTCCTTATGTATGAATCTTTGAGAAAGTACGCAAAGCTCTCAGAAACAAATTCATAATATTCCCATACTTCATCTTCAGATGAGAACGAAATCAACCTGTACTTTGAGTAAGGTGAAACAGTTTCACAATGAAAGTAACACAGTGTGAATGAATCTGTAGCCTGATATTAATTTCCTCTCCTCCACGTATGTTTTGATGGGATCCTGTCCTCATTCACAATATTTAAAAAATTGTTTCAATATGGTGGATGAATTCTACCACTTCAAACAATTCTTCTTCAATCTCAACATAAGGTTTTGATTGTGAACTAACTGCAACTAATATGGAGACTATCGTGATAGGTCTCCATACACTTAATCGCTTTAAAAATCTGAATAAAATTAAATGAGCATTAGTGCGAATTCCACAAGGATAATATGAACTAATTTGAACTAGAAAGCTTATGACTGATAATATACCACGTAACCACCGGAAATATG